ATAATAATAATTTTTATTAAAAAAAATTATTTTTTCCACGTTTAGAAAAAATTTTATTTTTGAGAATTTCAAGAGACTGGTTTAAACAAATTTAACTGACCCTCCTTTTATGATGTGGTTTTTCAATCTATTATTATGCCCAAAGATCCCAAAGGAATTATCGCATGCTGCGTTGAATTGCAAAACAGAGAGAGAGAGAGCATGGGCTTCAGGGTTATTGTGAATGAAAAACCCCTAAATCTATTGGAGACGGCATAAAGTGTTATATCTGTATTTTTATCAATCTATGGGATAAAGTCTCTTTAATTAATCCTCAAAACTGCAATTTTCTGATAAAAAAGTTTTAATCTTTTAAGAAAATAAATCTTTATTTCATTTCTGAAAGTCAAAAAGAAAACCATGATTAAAATGAAAATTAAACAGATTCTATTTCTAAGATGTCTAAAAATAAATTTCTATTTTTGATAATTGAAATGAAAAAAATTCAATATAATTTAGAATACAGTCATAACCAGAAAACTGTGGAATAGGAAGACGACATTATAGCAATTATGAAGTGCATTTGATGTTTTTTAAAGCATATAGCTTTACTTGAAAGTTATTAAATTACTTATAAAGTAAAATGGGTCTGTTTACATTGCACTTTTGCTGTGCCTCATGTCCAATGCGCTATTAAAAGTCATAACTTGAGCTTAAAAGTCGACTTCCTATTCCAGAGGTTTCTGGTTATTACTGTAACTTAAATGTTTTAGGTTTCTGGAAAATCATGAATTATTGAGGGTCTGTTAGACCCTTGAGAAAATATGAAATTTGTCTTTTATCTGTTGTTTTCAAAATTGTATTAAAAATAGTGTATGTATTTCCTAATCTTAAATTTTGAATAAAAACATTTTTCTTTTGCTGTTGTATTTAAATGTTTCCTTGATTTCAAAGTTCAGTTTTTTAGATGTTACTTTTAAGAGTTTATAATTTCTTCATAAATAGTGAAAGATGCATAATAAATTAAAATTAAAATTCATTTCAATTAGGTGAATAAATTAGTTAGGACCTATGAATGTAGTAAATGCCGTACTCTTAAAAGTTCATCCCTATAACTGTATCAGTCCAGGACCCAGGCACAACCAGTCCACTATCCAATTCAATGCAACACAGGGACACAATAGTAGTTTATCAATCTAGCTATCAGTCAGGCTCTAAATACCACACAAGGACACAAGGTTAGCTATAAACCTATACTATTCCTCATACTCTAAATACCACACAAGGGCACAAGCATAGCTATAAACCTAACTATTCCTCATGCTCTAAATACCACACAAGGACACAAGCATAGCTATAAACCTAGCTATTCCTCTTACTCTGAATGTCACACAAGGACACAAGGTTAGCTATAAACCTATACTATTCCTCATACTCTAAATACCACACAAGGACACAAGGTTAGCTATAAACCTAACTATTCCTCATACTCTAAATTCCACACAAGGACACAAGGTTTGCTATAAACCTAGCTATTCCTCATACTCTAAATACCACACAAGGACACAAGCATAGCTGTAAACCTAACTAATTCTCTTACTCTGAATGTCCCACAAGGACACAAGCTTAGCTGCAGTAAACCTAGCTATTTCTCTTACTCTAAATGTCACACAAGGACACAAGCGTAGCTATAAACCTAGCTATTTCTCTTACTCTAAATGTCCCACAAGGACACAAGCATAGCTGTCAACCTAACTATTTTTCTTACTCTGAATGTCCCACAAGGACACAAGCATAGCTGTAAACCTAGCTATTTTTCTTACTCTAAATGTCCCACAAGGACATAAGCATAGATGTAAACCTAGCTATTTTCTTACTCTGAATGCCATATGTTATTTATAGGATTAGCAAGGATAGATAACGCGCGCAGTTAATCTATCTCCATGCATGTTTATAGGTTGAATGTGCGTATTAAAAGGTTAAGCTAATCATGCCATGTATTCATTCGGAACGCAGTTCAAATGAATAATGGAATTTTTGCGTAGAAGTTTACAAACATAGAACGCAAAAATTTCTTTACTTTCTAAACNTTATACTCCCAGAGATTGGAACTTATACTCCCAGAGATTGGAACTTTCACACCCAGAGATTGGAACTTATACTCCCAGAGATTGGAACTTATACACCGAGAGATAGGAACTTATACACCCAGAGATTGGAACTTTCACACCCAGAGATTGGAACTTATGCAGCCAGAGATTGGAACTTATACACCCAGAGATTGGAACTTATACACCCAGAGATTAGAACTTATACACCCAGAGATTGGAATTTATACTCCCAGAGATTGGAACTTATACTCCCAGAGATTGTAACTTATGCAGCTGGGAGATAGGAACTTATACTCCCAGAGATTTGAACTTATACTCCCAGAGATTGAAACTTATACTCAAAGAGATTTGAACTTATACTCCCAGAGATAGGAACTAATACTCCCGGAGATTTGAACTTATACTCCCAGAGATTGGAACTTATACTCCCAGAGATTGGAATTTATACTCCCAGAGATTGGAACTTATACACCCAGAGATTTGAACTTATACTCCCAGAGATTTGAACTTATACTCCCAGAGATTGGAACTTATACTCCCAGAGATTGGAACTTATGCAGCTGGGAGATAGGAACTTATACTCCCAGAGATTGGAACTTATGCACCCAGAGATTGGAACTTATGCAGCTGGGAGATAGGAACTTATACTCCCAGAGATTGGAACTTATACTCCCAGAGATTGGAACTTATGCAGCTGGGAGATAGGAACTTATGCTCCCAGAGATTGGAACTTATACACCCAGAGATTGGAACTTATACTCCCAGAGATTGGAACTTATGCAGCCAGAGATTGGAACTTATGCAGCTGGGAGATAGGCACTTATACTCCCAGAGATTGGAACTTATACAGCCAGGAGATTTGAACGTTTGTTTTTCAGGAGTTTGTTCTTCAAAAGTTTGTTTTTCATGAGTTTGTCTTTCAGGAATTTGTCTTTCAGGAGTTTATCTTTCAGTAGTTGGTTTTTCAGGAGTTTGTTTTTCAGGAGTTTGTTCTTCAGGAGATGGTTTTTATGAAAAATTGTACATTTTTAAGACTCTGAAGTGAGAAAACTCTGTGGTCATCGATTTTACATTAATCATCTTTATCTTTATCTTAATCATCTTTATCTTTATCTTAATCATCTTTATCTTTGTTTTAATCATCTTTATCTTTATCTTAATCATCTTCATCTTTATCTTAATCATCTTTATCTTTATCGTAATCATCTTTGTCTTGACCTCTATCATCTTTGTCTTGACCTCTATCATCTTTATCTTTATCTTAATCATATTTTGTGTAGCCCTAGACATGTATAACTTAGAACTACAACCAGCTTGTTTCTGGTTTCTAGGCGGGCGAGGAGGGGTTAATGTAAAAGTGTGGGATAGATCAGAATAGGCAATAGCAGGGTCATAAACTGGTAATATTTTCATCATATTTGAAATTCAGGCACGTAAATATGTACATTGTATACAAGCCTTTTACTAGCATCGGATATCAAACATTTTGAAGAGATATTCTTCTTAAATATATATATATATATAAACAGAATTGTTTTTGGAACATTTTGCATTTTGCATGGTAACTCATGAGTAAAAATTGTGCATGTTCTTAACGGGAAAATTCTGAGTATCACATGTAAAACTAAAAAAAATTTATATAATCAATTTATTAAAAACTAAACTTTTAGAGGCCCGATTAATATATTTTATTTTATTTCATGATTTTAGAAAATTTAAGTTTACGTTAGTTCTCTTGAACATGTTTAATGCATTTTCTTGTTTGTGCGAATATCTATCCAAAGTTTTCTTAACATTTTAAGTACACAGTAGTTAATTGTAAAATTTTAAAATTAATCATAATTATACAATTTCATGCAATTAAATGCGTATTCTAACAACCCTCACTAACTAACCTTACAAATTAACCTGATAAGCTACATTATACAAATTGTTTCACAACCTAACATTTATATCCATCCCCTTTAACTCTGAAACTAGTCTATTAAACTAACCTTACAAACTAACCTCACAAACTAACCTGATATCACAACCTAACATAATATCCATCCCTTTTAACTCTGAAACTAGTCTATTAAACTAACCTCACAAACTAACCTGATATCACAACCTAACATATTATCCATCCCATTTAACTCTCAAACTA